GCTCTCAGGGCCCCAACTCCGGCCACTCTCCCAGGGGTTCTGTCCCCTCCCTCCCTGACAACCGTGTCTCCTCCTCCCAGGCTCTAGTCCTGAGGGCAGGTTCAGCGCCCTGATCTGGGTGGAGGCCCCCGGGCAGCCCCCACTGAAGCTCATCGAGGCCGTGGCTGCGTCCCAGCACTGTGCCCAGGTCCTGCCTCCTCGCCAGCTGCAGTCCTGGGATCCAGGGTGGGGACAAGGGACGGGCAGGGCCCTGGAGACCCCCAGGTTGAGGAGGGGCGAAAGGGAATCTCCAGTGCTCCCGCTGCCTCCTCACCCCCATGGAAAGTGGTGAAGCCGCCCGAAAACCAGCTGCCACTTGGGGAGGCTGGAAAAGAACCATTCATTCATTCACTCAGACTATTATGAGGCCAGGGCCTGGGCTCCACCCTGAGGAGGCCAAAAATAGACAGGAGAGGACTCTGCCCAGGATTCGGATGCAGTTAGCATTTCCCAGCATGGTGGCCAAGCTCCGGGGAGAAGCCCCGGACAAGCCAGCAGCTGGAAGGGAAGCAGGCCATGAGCTCAGCGGGGTGCAGAGGGGACTTTTGGGGTGGGCATGATTGAGGGGCCGGAGGAAAAGGAAACCTTAGGGAGCAGGTGGGGCTGTGGCCTGGAGCCAGGGCCCCGCAGGTACCTTCGCGTCTCCCGAAACGTTGCCCTCTGGAAACCCCGAGGCAAGGACACGGCAGCTGTGGAAGACCCCGGGGCCCGGCCAGGCCACCCTCCCGTGTGCAGCCACTCTGCCATCCTCCCACCCCGAACAAGCTCACTGCTGGGAGCCCCGCGTCTGCCCAAGACCCCAGTCTTCTGGAACCGCCCCACACCTTTCCCTCCTAGATCCTGATTCTATGGAGCAGTGAGAGGCCATCCCCACCCAGGTGGCCGGAGACATCAGTACCCTTAACAGTCCTTGAGGGGCGCAGGAAGGTGAGGGACAGGAAGGGGCACGGGAGGGCTGGGCCCATGCTGGGAACTGGGGGGTGCCCATGGGGTGCTGAGCTTCTCCTGAGCCCAGGTTGGCTGTCAGGTTGCGCCTGGAGAAATCAGGCAGAGGCTGTAGCTGCGGGCCCAGTACAAATGCGTTTGGCCCTTGTGAATTGTGCTTCCGGAGCACTGGGGCCCAGGTGACAGGGGCAGGCGGAGGATCCGTTGATGTCTCTCAGAGGGACAGCAGGGGGCGGGGGGAGCCTGGGGTCTGGAGGAACCGTGCTTGAGGACAGCCCCTCGGGCTGGGCAAGGCTGGTGCGTGCCACCTGCCGGCTGTGTGCGCCTGGCCACGTCCTTTCGCTCACTCAGACCTGGTTCTTTCAAATCAACGATGCTTGCTCAGAGCATCTAATGTGACAACAGAGGAATCCTGAGCTGACACAGCTCCAAGGGCCCCTAGAGGCCAAACGCCCCTTTTTTCCGAAGGGGAACTGAAATTCAGACAGGTAAAAGTGGATGGCTCCCAGAGTGGGTTCTGGGCAGGACTGCTGTATTCACAGCTCTTCCTTCTGCTCCAAGCCTATTATTGGACCGTAGGAACGGCTGAGTTACCTATTACTGGACCAGGGTGGGGAGGGGCTCCCACCACCGAGTCACTCCCACCCCTCCCGCTGCAGGCCAGCGACCGCTTCTTCCCGTACAGCGCCATCAGCACCGACGCCATCCTCAGCCTTGATCCCCACAGCAGCCTTTCCACGAGTGAGGTGAGGGCTGGGCCCAAGAGCAGCCCACTGTGCGCCGGGGCAGAGCCCGGGGACCCTGGCAGCCCCCCAGCTCCCAGAGCTAGCAGGACCACCGGTCAGAGGCCTCCCAGCAAGCCAGGCGGCTTCCTCTTGAGAAATCAGGGAGTCGGGCTCTCTGGGGCAGAGGCTTGGCAGGGACTCCTGAGAACATGGTTTCCTAGACGATCCCAACCAACAGCTCCCATCTCCTCTCCCCCAGGCCCTGCCTCAGCCCCTCAACCAGGCAGGCCTCCCTTCCCAATCTCTGGTTGTTCCCAGGTGGCTGCGAAGTCCTTCCTCACGGCTCACTTAAATCCCTCTCCAGGTGGATTTTGCCTTTGGGGTGTGGCAGAGCTTCCCAGAGCGGATGGTGGGCTTTGTGACATGGAGCCACTTCTGGGACGAGGCCCGGGGCAGCTGGGGCTACACTGCCGAGACGGCCAATGAATTCTCCATGGTTCTCACCACGGCCGCCTTCTACCATCGGTACAGACCCCACCCTGGCACAGGGATCAGAGAATCGGGGTTCCTCCCTGAACCAAGAATGCGCCGGTCCCTAGAGCTTGGAGTTCAAGGCCCAGATCAGCCCCTTCCCAGCTGTGTGGCCTGAGAAAGTCTTGGTCCCCTTGGGTCTCAGTTTTCTCATCTGTAAAATGGGACGTCCTCACCCCAGTGCTGGCGTGATCAGGACATAGCCCCCGGCACACAAGTCCCAGCTAGCGTGACGTTAAGTAGGACTGCAGAGTAAGGACAGTGTGTGGGCGTGGTGTTGACGGTGGTCAGGCAACAAGAGATTTTTTTTTTTGACATTTATTTATTTGAAAGGCAGGGTGATGTAGGGAGAGACAGAGATCTTCCACCCACTGTTTCACCCCCCAAATTGCTACAACGGCCAGAACTGGGCGAGGCCAACGCCAGGAGCCTGGAGCCCCATCTGGGTCTCCTATGTGGGTGGCATCTGCTGCTGCCTCCCAGGCACGTTAGCAGGGAGCTGGGCTAGAAGCAGAGCAGCCAGGACTCCGTCAGGCTGACGTGGTGCCAGCATCGGCGGTGGCTGCCACAACACCAGCCCCAACAGAATGGTTCTGATGCCCTGAGTGTGTGTGCAATGGGTTAGGGATCATCTGAGCCCCTCTAGAAATCGCCTGAGGTACCCCAGCCTTGGGGCAGGGGCTGGATTCTGGAGGGCCTCTTTAAGGAGCTCCTTACAGTTTTTTTGTTTGTTTTTTTTTTTGTTTGTTTGTTTTTTGTTTTGTTTTCTGACAGGCAGAGTGGATAGTGAGAGAGAGAGACAGAGAGAAAGGTCTTCCTTTTTGCCATTGGTTCACCCTCCAATGGCCGCCGCAGCTGGCGCGCTGTGGCCAGCGCACCGCACTGATCCGATGGCAGGAGCCAGGTGCTTCTCCTGGTCTCCCATGGGGTGCAGGGCCCAAGCACTTGGGCCATCCTCCACTGCACTCCCTGGCCACAGCAGAGAGCTGGCCTGGAAGAGGGGCAACCAGGACAGAATCCGGCGCCCCGACCGGGACTAGAACCCGGTGTGCCGGCGCCGCTAGGCGGAGGATTAGCCTAGTGAGCCGCGGCGCCGGCCCTTACACAGTTTTAAACCAAGTATGTGTCAACTGGAGCCTCTTGTACATGACCCAGAAACTCAGCGGGAGCTCTCAGGAGGGTGATCCCATGCCTGTGGGGTGGGCGGGGCTGTCCTGCAGAGGAACCCAGGCTCTGGCCAATCAGCAGCTGCTCTTCTGGGGGGCCATGCTTGGTGGCTTAGAAACCAGCTTATCCTCCCAGCCCAAAGGAGCTGTGAGGAGCAGGACAGAGAGCACCATTGGCTGCAGTCGGGTACAAGACAGTGGGAGCTGTTGGTCCTGGACATGGGGCCGCTGGGACAGCCTGGGCTCAGAGGGGACCTGGGCTGCTCCAAGAGGCTTGGAGCTGGCGGAGGGGTGGACTCGCTGCAGCCTGTTCCTCTCTTACCCGCACCCCCACCCCGCCCAGGTATTACCACACTCTCTTCACGCGCTCCCTGCCCAAAGCTCTGAGGACCCTAGCAGACGGATCCCCCGCTTGCGTTGACGTCCTGATGAACTTCCTAGTAGCAGCAGTCACCAAACTGCCCCCGATCAAGGTGCCCCAGGCCAAGCGGCACCACGAGGCGGCTCCGCGGGTGAGAGGCTGGGCGGCACCTGCTGCCCCGGGAAGGAACCGGCGAATCCGAACCCTTGAGGCAGGGAGCACAGGGTTCGCCAGGGCAGAGAAGCCAATCAACGCGTTTCTTCCCCCTATCCCCTCCCCACCCTCTTAGGCACCTGCGGGCCCCGGCTCCGGGCCGGAGTCGCAGCCCCCAGCCCGGGACTGCGTCGACCAGCTGGCAGCAGAGTTCGGCCACATGCCCCTGGTGACCTCTCGCCTGCGCCTAGACCCGGTGCTGTTCAAGGACCCGGTGTCGGTGCAGCGCAAGAAGTATCGCAGCCTGGAGGGGCGCTAGGAGTCCGCGCCCGGGACGGCGGAGAACCAGTCAGCGCAACCCGGCGGCAAACGTCAGACCGGGCCAGCCAATCGCAGCCAGACCCCCGGCGGAGCGGGGCCGCCCCAGTCCCCAGCACACCCCCGGTGCCCGCAAAGCCGTGGACAGGCCGTGCCCTAGACAAAACCCGGTCCCCTAGCCCCTGGGCATGGACAGGCAGCCATCCGCAGACGCGTGGGTTGTCGGGCTCGACCCTCGCGTCCCAGCGAAGGAGCAAAGGGCGTGAGGAAGCCAGAGGTCGGGGGACGACAGGGGAATGGAACGCAGGTGGTCCGCCCAAGCCCCGCGCGCCCTGGCTCTTCCGTGCTCCCGGCCTGTGCCACTAGAGGGCAGCGCCGCTCCGCACTGCCTCCGCCTGGAAGCCGAACCGAGTTTTTAGCACCCGCACAATCAGAGCCGTCTGCAGCCCGAAGCTCGAAAACCCGGCGAGCGAGGACCTCTGGAAACAGCCCCGCCCCCTTGGCCTGCACACCTGCAACTCAGCAAGGGGCCATTTCTAGGCTGGGCTGGACAGGAGTGGGGTTTGTGTCCTGAGGGCCCTGCAGGTGAGGGCTGGAGCGGGAGAGGTCTCGGAGTTCTCCCGGGTTCACCCACCTGGAACTGGAATTATCACTTCCGAAATAAAGCTCCTGCCCTTGCCCCCTCACGCCCAGGCTATAAATACCCTTACGGCAGCTGCGTAGGGAACACAGGAGTCGCCTGGGCGCAGGAGCGACTTCGGGGGGGGGGGTGACTTCGAGAGGGGGGGGTGTCAGATGTTTTTCTGCTTTGGTGGCCTCGCGGCTCTGGAAACTCCCGTGACTGGCTCGCTGGCTGGACATACCATCCCCTAAGACTCCTAGCCCTGGCCTGCAGCTTGACCCCTTGCCCCGGCTGACTCGGGCTCTCCCTGGGGCCTGTCACAGCTGGACTTGCAGAGTGGGTGCTCCTTGGCTGCCCTGGGCCCCGGCTTCCAGAGCCTGAGGTGCAGGGGGTTTAGAGTTAAAGGCAGGCAGGGCTGGCTGAGAGTCAAGGACAGCGGGGGGAGGGGGGGGGCACACAGCACAGCTGCAGCACAGGCAGCCTTCCCAGGGCAGAGGGCTCCGAGTGCCAGCCCAGCCGGGAGACGGGCACCTTTCCGGTCCCAGCCGCCCCACACAAGCCCCTGCACTGCCATGCCTGTGGGAGGGCCTGAGACTCTCACACTGCAGCAGCCTACAGCTCCAAGTAGGACCCCAGCCCCTACAGCAGTGGACGCGCTTGGTGAGTGAGGCAGAAACCTGCCGCACACTGGCTGTGTGACTTGAGGCAAATAACTCAGCCTCTCTGAGCCCCCTCTATAATGGAGGTCAGCAGTGACCGTCCCGTTAGAGGGGGGTGAGGACTTGGCACATAGCAGAGCCCGGGCTCCAGGGGCTAGGGATTTGATGGCTGTGAGATGGTGAGGTGGGAGGACACAGCCTCCAGCAGCCCCCACCCCGACTCCAGGCCAACCCTGACTTCCTACAGACCTTACGGGGCTGAAGGACCCTGGGGCCTGGAGCACAGGCATGGTGGTGACGGTGCTACAGAGGCAAGAAAGGCCCTTCTAGAGGTGGAAAGGGAGAGGCAAATGGCCAGCTGCCCCAGGCAGGAACAGAGGTGAACTCCGAGCTGCCTGGGAGAGGGCTTTGTAGCAGGGTCCCCTCTCTCCAGGACAAGCACCCAGGGAACCACTCTCCAGCTCCTGAGCAGACTTTGGCTTTGGGCCTCACAACGACCCTGCGAGGTAGGCGCCAACCTGCTCGTCTCCAGGTGAGACAGAGACACGAGGGCAGCTGGGCGAAGGGTACTTGGTCACTGCAGTGCCGGGAACAGACCCGAGACCCAGGGCTCCCGGGCACGGGGGACAGGCCTCCCCTTTTGTGCCTCCCCCAGCCCGGGAAGCCTGAGTCTCCTGCTTCCAGGGCCACTGGGCTGTGTCCAGACCCACATCAGGCCGTTCAGGCAACACAGCCGGCTCAGTCAGGTCAGAGTTCAGGTTCTGCCATGCCCTGGGCTGCTCTCAGGGCAGGGGAAGTGGCCTGGGGCAAGGCTGTAGGACCCCAGCTGAAATCTCAGACGTGCCCACACCCCGATGCAGCTTCCTGGGCTGGGAAAGCAGGAAAGGGGGCAAAAGCCAGGTCCTCACCCAAGAAACCCCTCCAGCCCCACCAGGAAAGGGTCGTGTTTGGCCCCCAGCTGCAGGGACCAGGGCTCAGGCCTCTGGCGCGCCTGGCTCCCTACCCAGGGGAACTCCTCTGCGGTTACGGGGTCCTCACAACCCCGCACCCTCCACGCTGCCTTCAGTCCCAGGGAAAGCCCAGGTGCTACCCATGTGAAATTAGGACAGCGTTGGCTGCGGGTGCGGCCTGGACATGGTCCTGCTGGGAGCGGAGCAGCAGGTGCCGGATCCCAGCAGCCCTGGGGCTGGCTGTCATCAGGTGGGGGAGCCCAGGAAGAGCCCTACTCCTGGAGGGGTGCAAGGCTCCTTCCTGCACCTGGAGCAAGAGTGGCTTATAACACAGCCGGGATAGGCAGAGTCCTGGCTGGCCGGCCACCTGCAGGTCCTGTGGGTGCCTCTGTGGGTGCCTGGCCAGGCGGTCAGTCCGAGGGGCCTTGGCACGCCTGGCAGTCCTTCATGTCATCGGAGTAGTCCTCAATCTGGATGGTCATGGTATGGAAGTGGAACCTCCCCTGGAGGCGGGCGCTGGCCGTCTTCAACACAGCCTGGGCATCTGCATTCTCACCTAGGGCACCCGAGAATGTCTACTCACTCTTGCTCTTTGGGGACAGCCAGGAGCCCAAGTCACATACCCTCCCCCCAGCAAAACAGGGCAGGGCCTATTGCACACTCGTGTGCCAATGTCCTTGCACGGGCAGTGCCTGCATCCACGGTCGAGACTCCTGGGGGATGGCCCCAGGCCTTTGGCTACCTCTCCTCCTCTCCCTGCCCTGAGTGCCCCAGCCACTCACCGATGGCGATGTGGACGGAGAGCACAGGCTGAGCCACGGTCAGCGCCCAGATATGCAGACTGTGCAAGGCTTCCACCCCTTCCACCGACAGCAGCAGATCCCGCACAGCTGTGAAGTCCATGCCCTTGGGGGTTCCTAAGGACGGCAGGGACAGAGGCGAAAGAAACAGCTGCCCCTCCTGTACCCACAGGTGCGGGGCTGGCGCTTCCTCCTCCAAGTGCCCCTGGCCAGCAGGACGGTACCCAGCGCCCTCCCCATCGGATCAGCTGGCTCCGTCGTCTGCTTCACTCCTGCACTGAGGTGGCTGTGTTCATTGACTGTCCCCTCCTAGAGAGCAGGGCCATCTGCTTTGTTCACCACCCTGGAGGTTTCCCGGCCAACGCCACGCTCCAGACCGTGGCTCCCGGCCAGCAGGCTGGGATCCCCTTGACCCGCACACACACCCCATTTCAGGCTTAGAGCTTGAGAGCCAAGAGCAAAAGGGGAGCCCCTGACGCTGTTACCTTCCATCAGCACCAGGATCACATCTCTCAGGATGGTCAAGGTTGTCCCCAGGACCAAGATGGAGAAGAGGAAGGTGCAGATGGGATCTATATACTTGTACTCGGGCTGCGAGACGGGAGGAAGGCACACCTGGGGGTCACCACCCACCCCTTACTTCCCTTCTCCTTGCCCACCCAGCACTGGGGGGAGAGGGGCTGCCTCTGCAGGGTGGGCCTGCCCCTCACCCTGGCCCTGCCCCCCAGCTTTCTACCATTCACTGCGTACCTGGAAGAACAGACAGGACGGGGCACAGTTCAGGGACAGGCACGGGCCCTTTCCACCTTCCCTGCCCGAGGGCTGAGACATGGGCAGAGCTAACAGGAATCCTAGATACCATGTGGGCCACCATCCCTATTTTCTAGATGGGGAAAGTGAGGCTCATCCAACGGCCGGCCAGGGGGAGAGCCAGGCTTCCAAGCAAATGTCTAGCTCTTCCCACCACACCTCCCTGCCGCAATACAGTGGGCCACGCCCAGGCTTCAGCAGCAGTTCCCAGCTGTGCAACTTCACTGACCCCTTCTGAGCTGCCTGCCCTGCAGGTGCTGGAGAAACGTTCCTTCCCTCTCCCCACCCTTGTGCCCAGAACTGGGATGGACTGAAAAGCTGGGAGGGGTCCTGTGCAGAGATCAAGATGCTCCACACTCCCCTGCCTCACCCCCACCCTCTCCCCCGACCCCAGCCCCAGCTCTGACCTTGAAGTATAAGATATAGGCTGCCACCAGGACACCCAGGCTCTGCAGAAAGTCCCCGATCACGTGGACGAAAGCCGCTCGGACACTGGGGTTCTCCTGTGGCTGGCTGGCGTCGTGGCTGTGCCCATGGCTGTGCCCATGGCCAGACTGGTGGAGGGTCAACCCCATTCTATAAAAGTGGAAACAATGTCAAGGGGCAGGTAGGGGCCACCTTCCGGAGCTGGTCTCGCTGTGGGCCAAAAGTGTCCAGCCCGATACACTGTGTGATCCCTCTGCCCTGAGGAGCCCAGCCCCCCAAGTCTCCCGTCTGAGAGCCACAGGAGAAAGCCAAGGCCCAGTCCCAATGCTAGGCTGGGTCTGGGCCTGACAATGCCCCAGGGCCATATCTCAGAGTCGGAGGGCGAAATGGAGGAGGTCCCCTGGTTCACCCCATCGTGTCACAGATGGGGAAACTGAGGCCACTGAGCAAGGGAGAGAAAGAGCCCCAAGTAGGCCCCTCACGGAGACCGGTCTCAGGCACATCACCTTGGACAGGGGCTTGGATCCTGCCCCAGAGGCAGTGAGCCTCGTGGCTCCCACTTCAGCCCCCAAGGCTATCACTGACAGGTGCAGGAGGGTGGGGAGAGTTCATACGGCCCCAGATTTGTAGCTCCTGATATCCTTGGCCTAAGCAGGACACAGAGGTTCCCAGTGCCAGAGCTCAGAGCAGGAAGTTCTGTTCCTGTGGCCTCTGCAGGTTGTGGCTTGGCCTCCTTCCACTGAGAGCAGACGCGGGGACACACGTGACCGGCGGGAGCAGGGGAAAGCACGGGGGACCGGGGCCACACTCACATGATGTTCACAGCCACAGCGCAGCCGGACGTGATCAGCATCGTGGCCCCCTCGATCTCATACTCCCCGGAGATAAGCCGCTGCACGGCCAGGTACACCAGCACGCCGGTCACCACCCAGATGGACAGCACCGACAGCAGGGCTCCCAGGATCTCTGCGGAAGAACCCGGCCCCAGCACCAACCTTACATGGGCCCTAAGTCCCCCACCCTGAACTTGCCTCCCTCTGCCAAGTCAGGGCCTGGGTCCTCTGGGACACACTGAAGCCACGACAGCCACTCCCACCACTCACATCTGAACAAATCAGAGCCGGAAGGAACTTAGAAGTCTCTGGGTCAATCATTTGTGTTTTACATGGAAACAAACCGATGTATTGAAATAAATGCCCTGGAGTCAGTGTTGCGGCTCAGCAGGTTAAGCTGCTACCTGCAGGGCCAGCATTCCATATGGGCACCGGTTCGAGTCCCGGCTGTTCCACTTCCAATCCAGCTGCCTGCTAATGTGCCTGGGAATGCAGCAGAGGATGGCCCGAGTGCTTGGGCCCCTGCACCCATGTGGGAGACCCAGATGGAGTTCCAGGCTCATGGCTTCAGCCTGGCTCAGCCCCTGCTGTTGCTGCCATCTGGGGAGTAAACCAGTGGATAGATCTCTCTCTCTCTCTTTCTCTCTCTCTCTTTCTCTCTGTAACTCTCTTTCAAATAAATAAATCTTTAAAAACAAGTAAGTAAAATAAATGTCCTTTGCTCAGCTGGCAAACTGAGACGACTAAGGAGCAGCGGCTGGGCCACCTCCGCACAGAAGACAGCGCCAGTGCAGTCCAGGAGTGGACGAGAGAGAGTTTAAAGCCTGTCACTCCCAGTGGGCTCCGCGACCTTTCCCTCCCCCAGAGCTGATCCCTGCAGCTGTGTACAATGCTAATGCCATTGTCACTTGAAGTTCTTGAGCGACTGCATTTCTTAGGAAGGTGAACTTGGCTTCCTGGCAGACTGGGAGCTCCTGGATGCCTGGGAGTTCCCGAAGAACATCCTCTTCCTGGACCCAAGTCACCCTCCTGGCCTTGCTCAGGGACCCACCCACTACAGCCCCTTGGAACCTGCTCAGACCCACACGCTCTCACGCCCATCTGCAGCCGGGCTACGCACCAGCTCGCTGCCAGCCGAAGTTCATGGTCTTGGTGGCCGGTCGGGAGGACATCCAGAGGGAGAAGAGGCTGATGAGCATGCTGGCAAAGTCGGTGAGCAGGTGGGCCGCATCGGTCATGATGGCCAAGCTGTGCGCCAGGTACCCACCTGCAGGGGTGGGGCCAGGAGGGTGCAGGGTCGGTACCAGCTCCCTGAAGAGCCGACTCCCCAGACTGTGGGTACAGCAGGGGGCATCAGTCTTCTTTTGAGACCTCATTAACAGTACAACTGTGAGCAAATAAACGACCCTCTCTGAGTCTCAACTTCCACACTCTGTGAAATGGGCCAACAACCTCTCCTTAGAGAGTGAGCGTGAAAATCAAGTTCAGTTAGGGCCTGGAAAGCAGAGTGGGCGCTCAGCAAACGCTCTCTCCCTCTGGACATTCAAGCCTTCCCTTACCCACTAGCTGTGTGGGATCTCTGGCAAGTTATTTAACCTCGACATGCCTCAGTTTCACCCTCCGCAAACTAAGGAGAGTAACAGCACCCGGATGACAGCACAAGACTGTCCAGAGAACCGGTGAGAGAGCGTGTGTCTGAGCAGCACAGTGTGCGCTCCGTCGATGGGGCTGCTGGTTACTATTACTGGGACGCCAGACCAACCAGACACCAGCTTCCTCTAATGAGCACAAAAGTCCTTACCGATGACTTCTCCGATCATGAACACCAGGCAGACGGCAGAGGCCACATAGAGCTGGCGCCGGGCCTGCTCCCTCTCGGGGTCGTGGTGACTGTGTGGACCCCTCTGGGCATGGCAGTAGTGGTTGCTCTGGGCAGCCAGCTCCATGACCTGCATGTCCAGGCCAGGCCCAGGCAGAGGGGTCCAGTCGGTCCCCTCCTGCCACAGAGATCCCATGTAGGACCTGGCCAGAGAGGAAGGAGAGGGGACGCTCAATTCCAAGGTGGGGGTGGGGAGGGCTGATCCCAGCCAGGGTTCTGTGTGGGGTCTTGGTGTTCCCACCTGTTCAAGCTCACCTGTCCCCAAGCAAACGAGAAGCCTGTGTTTGGAGGGAGTGGGGGTGGAGGGGATGAGAGTCTTGGGGCCCTGGCCCTGGGGTGTTCCTCCCTCCCCCATCCCTTCCAGGGCCTAGAGGAGGCCAAGACCTTGGGAACAGGCCAAGGGGCAGGCTGATTAGTGGAGCACGGAGAAAGAACAGAGCTCTGGTTCTAGAAGGGCAGGGCCCCCTCCTGCACACTTGGGGACACAGAGCCTCCCCAGGGCGCAGCTGCCTGGGGGGCAGAATGCTGGGCTGGAGTCAGAGTGGGGGTGGGGAATCCAAGCATCGGAGCCCCCACCCCCACCCTGCCTCGATCGGAAATCAGGATCTGCGCTCGGCCCACAGACAGAAAATGATCCCCGGGGTCAGGCGGCCAGGGTCAGACGGCCACAATAAATTTCCTCTTCCCTAACCTCACCCCACCCCTTCTGCCTGGTCCTAGTTCCAGCCGCAGCCAGGACTGAGAAGAGGAGCTGCGGCCGCCCAAATTCCCGCCCCTCCCCAGGTTGCCGCCTTACCGGACTCCAGTCCTGCGGTCCAGCAGGTGCAGCTTCTCCGTGTCCTCCATGCAGCCCCTCGCGCCCCGCGCTGCTGCCTCTCCAGAGGCGCTCCAGAAGTTGCGCACCGGACGCTCCGCGGAGCGCACTACCTGAGCCGAGGGCCCGCGCGCCGCGCCCGCCCGCCGCTGCACGGGCTCGGGCTCGGGGTCCAGCTCCGGATCCGCTCCGAGCGCTCCCACGTGTCCGCGCCGCCGCCGCTGCGCCCCGCTCACGCCCGCTTTATCCGGCGCTCTCCACCCCGTGTGAAGCGGCCCGCGGCGCGTCGTGTGCAAAAGCCCGCGGGGAAAGGGCGGGGGTGGCCGGCTGCACAGATTCCCGGGCGCCGTCCCGGTGCCCCGGACCTCTGCGCACCTGGCTTCTGAGCCCGCCCGGGGCCCGCAGCCACCTGCGCCCGGCCGCCGCTCCGGGGTGCTGGGTTCGGACTGCGGGCGGCTGAGCCGCAGTCTCCAGCGCGGGATTCCTGGAGAAGTGCCCCCAGCCCTTGTTCTGTTTGCTCCCGCCCCAGTCTGCAGCAGGATCCTCCCGGGACTGACCGACCCACACAAGCCCCTGAAGCGGTGGCCGGTCCGCGCCTCTTACGGGCTCTGTGTAGCGTCCGAAGCGCTCGTCTGTGTCCCCACTCCTACAAACACCGGTGTGGTCAGGCAGCGGCCGCGGGCGCCCTCGGAGCAGAACTGACTGCACCGCCACCGCCTTTCTCGCCTCCCCGTAGATACTCACGGGGTCCAGGAGGCCCTACAAGCGGCCAGTCTGAGGACAGGGTCTCCGCCAGGAGCAACTGGTCTGGCCCTTGTCCTACCTGGGCTCAGAGCCAATTGAAGTGTCTCCCATGACCCTCTCCTCCCAACAGGTGCCCTTTTGTAGAAAGACCTGGGGGCTGGCGACCACCCTGGCTTTCACCCCACCACCCAGTGGTTGTTTCAGCATCTTCCCCAGCGGGAGTCACCCTAAGGCGCAGGGGTGTGGGGCCTGGCCTTGCCTGCCTGACTTGGGTTTCCACAGAGGGGAGGTGGGCGGTCTCAGATTCCCTGGTGGTTGTTTGTTTGTTTGTTTTGGACAGGCAGAGTTAGAGAGAGAGAGAGAGAGAGAGAGAGAGAGAGAGAGAAAGAGAGAAAGGTCTTCCTTCTGTTGCTTCACTTTCCAAATGGCCGCTACGGCCGGGGCACTGCACCAATCTGAAGCCAGGAGCTAGGCTCTTCCTCCTGGTCACCCATGAGGGTGCAGGGCCCAAGCACCTGGGCCATCCTCCACTGCCTTTCTGGGCCACAGCAGAGAGCTGGCCTGGAAGAGGAGCAACCGGGACAGAACCGGCGCCCCAACCGGGACTAGAACCCGGAGTGCCGGTGCCGCAGGTGGAGGATTAGCCTAGTGAGCTGCGGCGCCAGCCTCCCTGATTTTCTTTTCTCTTCTCTTCTCTTCTCTTCTCTTCTCTTCTCTTCTCTTCTCTTCTCTTCTTTTCTTTTTAACAGGCAGATGGACAGTGAGAGAGAGAGACAGAGAGAAGGGAGAGAAGGGTCTTCCTTTTCTGTTGGTTCACCCTCCAGTGGCCGCTGCGGCCAGTGCACTGTGGCCAGCACACCCACTGATCCGAAGCCAGGAGCCAGGTGCTTCTTCCTGGTCTCCCATGTGGGTGCAGGGCCCAAGGACTTGGGCCATCCTCCACTGCCCTCCTGGGCCACAGCAGAGAGCTGGCCTGGAAGAGGGGCAACCGGGACAGAATCCGGCGCCCCGACCAGGACTAGAACCCGGGGTGCTGGCGCTGCAGGTGGAGGATTAGCCTAGTGAGCCACGGCACCAGTCTCCCTGGTTTTCTTAAGGTGCAGTCGGAGGGTCAGTAGCCCCTGGAGAAGGCAAGAATTGCGGGTTACAGTCCCTGCATCCGGCCAGCCCAGCTGCCGCAGATGGGAGTGGGGCCTGCACGTTTCTGAGCTTCCCAAGGGGCGATGCCCTCTGCACGCTCACTGGTCATCTCACACAGTCTCACCGCTCCTCCCACCAGATCATAAACACCTCAGGACGAGAGATGAGTTGGCACACCTGTTCCATTTTAGCTCCTCTCAGCAGCTACCAGGCACACGATACCTCTGGACTAAACTGCAATGAGGAAGTAGACAACGAAAAGGCTGGCCGCTTTTCCAGACAGGAGTGAGCCGGGTGCCACACACAGGAGCTCCTGCTCGGCTTTCTCAGCTGTGGCTTGTACAGGATACTTGAAAACGTTTGTGGAAAATGCAACGAAAGTATAAGTTTATCAAACAATTTTTGAAATCGATGCATACGGGGAGTCTTCAAAAATGTTTGTGGCAATTCCCGCTATTATAAAACTGTTCAAGGATTTCGAAAGGGTTTTGCACCAAAATCAACATCTATTAATTCCTTTTTTCTTGCATTTTTTGAAGTACTCACATTTTCAAACTGCTGTATGCTCAGATGACTTATAACCTATTTGGTGGCAATGCATTTACACTTTACAAAAATGTGTCATATCTTGTTCCCTTTAATGCAAAGCACATTGTAAATTCTCAACACATGGGGCCAGCATTGTGACACGGCGGGTTAAGCCGCTGCCTGTGACGCTCATTCCATATGAGCAAGGTGTAAGACCTGGCTGCTCACTTCTGATGCAGCTCGCTGCTAAGGAGTCTGAGCTTGGGCACCTGGCTTCCGTCCATCCCAGCCCTGGCTGCTGCTGCCATTTGAGGAGTGAGTGAACCAGCAGATGGAAGATCTCTCTTTGTCTCTCCCTTCTCTCTATCTCTGCCTTTCAGATAAATAAATAATAAATAAATGTTTTTTTTTAAATTATGAGGGTACAGTTTTAAAACTTGTCATAGGACTCCAAATCCTATTAAAATTGGTGGTAAAAATGCAACCTTAATTGTTAAAGTGACCATATTAAGTGTTAAAGTGAACATATAGATAGGATTAAGTGTTAAAGAGATCATATAAATAGCATCAAGTGCCTGGTAATAATATCAGAATTAAAAAGGAGGGAATGTACCACATGGGAAGCAGTCCACACTGCAGATTCATAGAATGACAATCGCTTTAAGTAACACTCTGACCTCAGAATCAGTCCTTAAGGCATTCAGATGTGGCCAAAAAATGAGAGCATTTCGGGCATGGAGCCAAAACACTGTGGCAAAAAAAAAAAAAAAAAAAAAAAATCCTGCCTGAAGGATCTCTGTGAATGAGACCCCAGTGGAAAGAAGGGGCCATCAAAGAAGGATGTACTTTTCTCTGAAGGGAGGAGAGAACTTCCACTTTGCTTATGGTCTTGTCTAAATACTGATGGAGTTTGTGGTCACAAAAGGCTTCCATAGCATTGGCAGTGGCAGCTGATGGCAAGAGCCTCGGGTGATCACTGACATCATAAATAAGGTGTCAATTGTTAAATCAACAACAGAAGTCACTGTGCACTTACTTCTCATGTAGGACCTCTGTCCTTAATGAGTTGTACTGTGAGAATTAACTGCAAAACTTGTTATCAAACAGTACTTTATATGTTGTGTGTATGGGTGTAAACTGTTGAAATCTTTGCTTAGTATAGTGTTAGTCTTCTGTATATAAAGTTAATTAAAAATGAATCTTAATGAAGAATGAGATGGGAGAGGGAGTAGGTGGTGGGACGGGAGTTGGGGTGGGAGGGTGGGTATGGGGGGAAGAATCACTATATTCTTTTTTTTTTTAAGATTTATTTATTCATTTGAAAGGCAGAGTTACGAGAGGCAGAGGCAGAGAGAGAGGTCTTCCATTTGCTGGTTCACTCCCCAAATGGCTGCAATGGCTAGAGTTGCACCGATCCAAAGCCAGGAGCCTGAAGTTTCTTCTGGGTCTCCCATGTGGATGCAGGGGCCCAAGGATGTGGACCATCTTCTACTGCTTTCCCAGGCCATAGCAGAGAGCTGAATAGGAAGTGGAGCGGCCGGGACTCGAACTGGCATCCATGTGGGATGCTGGCGCTGCAGACCTGGGGCTTTAACCTGCTGTGCCACAGCACTGGCTCCACCACTATAGTCTTAAAGTTGTACCTATGAAATTTGCATTCATTAAATAACAGCTTTAAAAAAATTCTCAATACACAGATTTTTAAGTCAGACCCTGTTACATATATTCATTTTATAAGAACTTTAACAACAATTTTCTTTAAAGCAATACTTTCCCATGATGCATGTAAAATCATGAACTTTTTAAACAAATTATTTATTTTTATTTGAAAGCTGGATTTAAATGGGGGAGGAGCCTAAGCTGAGGTCAGAAGCCCAGAATTCCATCTGTGCCTCCCACGTAGGTGCAGGGGCACAAGCACCTGGGTCATATTCTGCTGCTTTCCCAGGTGCATTAGCAGGGAGCTGGATCAGAAGCGGAGCAGTCAGAACTCATATGGTATGCTGGCGTCAGAGACAGTGGCTTACCCTGCTGGGCCACAAATTACTCTCGTTCTGGGAGGTCCTGCCATACCCAGGAGGGAGAAAGAGTACACCTGGAAGAATCCAAACAGGCAGGTCTGTGGGACTTCCCTGCCCACTCCATAGCCACAGACGACACCCTTTGGATCCAGTCTCAGTTCTACAGAGTTGTCCATGTTCCACTCATGCATATGCAATGGAGTCTCCATAAAAACCAAAAAATGGGGTTTGGGGAGCTTCCAGAAAGCTGAATGCATGGAGGTACCTGGAGAAGGCGTGGTAGCCCCAGGCTCCTGTCCGTGTGTCTCGCCTGCTGCCTCTCTTTGTCGTCTCTACACTTTGCAATGTCCTTTATCATCAACTCTATACAGCTAACTTCCCAGTACTGGAGATTTGGGGGAAGTGAACCTTCACTGCAAACCCCTGGAAGCCAGTGTGATCCCACAGGAAGCCTGTTGGCTCAGATCTCTTCTCACCACCCTCCAGGGCTCTAGTGTGCAAGGACAGTGAGAGAGGCTCGGTGTGGCAGAGAGAGCCTCTCATTTGCAACCCCCAGCTGTCTTGCAGGAATTTGAACTGACAGTGAAGCTCTACCTGCGTTGAGATGCACGTGACTTGTGACTTCCAGCTGATGAAAGCCCCGGCTTTCTGGCCTCAGGTCTCCTCCATCCTACAGGAGGACGCTTTAGCAGAGAACACGATCAGGAAAAGCGAGTACGCGATCATCAGATCAGACAAGACAGAGGCCACCCAGAGCAGGAGGAGCCGTGATGGGAGGGGGCGTGGAGGGCTTCCAGGCTGGCAGTGTGTTTTTCTTGGCCTGGGTAGCTTACAGTGGTTTATTGTTTATCTACTACACAATTTTTTAAAATCGAAATACATTAGCACTTGAGAAGGGATTGGAAATGAGAGCAAAATCTGATTCCCTCTTCTTTTTTTTTTTTTTTTTTTCCAGGATTCATTTGATTACTTGAAAGGCAGAGTTACAGAGATAGAGTAAAAAAATCTTCCAGTGCTTCCCAAATGGCCACAAAGGCCTGGTTGGGCTAGCCCGAAGTCAGGAGCCAGGAACTCGATCAGGGTCTCCCACGTGGATGGCGGGAGCTCACCTCTGCTTTGCCAGGTGCATTAGCAGGAAGTCGGATCAGAAGTGGAGCAGCCGGGACTGGAACCAGCGCCTGTATGGGACGCTGGTGTCTCAGGCAGCGGCTTAACCTGCTGTGCCATAACGCCAGCTAAAACTTGATTCCTCAAAAGTCAAAGAGAGGGACTGAGTTAGTCTTAGAAAAACTTCCAGAAGCGAAAACAGACCGAGGTGGGAGAGTTTCAAGCACTTTCTAAGCGTGAGTTCCATAGGAGAGGAGCGCTGGAGGATGTCACGTGAATGCTGGGTTAAATATTCAATTCACAAAAGGAAAAAAAAAAAAAAAAGAACAACAAGAAGGAGGAGGAGGAGGAAGAGGAGGAGGAAGAGAGGGAGGAGGAGGCGGTCAGGAGCTGTCCGGATCGGGATCAGGCAGTTGTTCCAGCACTGCGGATTGTGTGGTCCTCGTCCCGAGCGAAGGTGCTTCCTGTGTGACGGGCCTGCTCAGAGTCCCCTTCCTGGCAGCCTTGTTCGGCAGGTCTGCGGTGCTCCCTGAGCGGGGAGGGCCGCACCGCATCAGCCCTAGCGAATGGCTGCCTCCCAGGCGCAGGCTCTTGGCCCCCTGCCCACTGAGAGCCTCACACCACTGTGGCCGCTCCACAGTGCAGGGGTCTGCCCTGGCCTTCCCTACAGAAAGTCCGGTTCCAATACCCGACATGGGGTCTGTGTGAGGAGAACGGCAGCAGCTCCGGCTCCCTTGCCTGACCCCACCAGAGCGTGGAGCCGCTGGGGCACCACACAGGTCGGGGAGTCACCAGCTTCCCGAGGGGCCGAGTGACACCACCTGGAAGTGCAGTCCTCTCATGAACTGTTTAGAATAAGATTGTGTGTGCATGTGTGTTTTAAAGATTTATTTTATTTATTTGAAAGGTAGAGTTACAGAGAGGGAGAGCAGAGGGATCCATCTTCCATTTGTTGGTTCACTCCCCAAATGGCCCCAGTGGCCAGAGCTGGACCAATCTAAGGCCTTGGAGGGGAGCTGGCACTGTGGTGTGGTGGGCCAAAGCCTCTGCCTGTGGTACCAGCATCCCATATGGGTGCCGGTTCGAGTCCTGGCTGCTCCTCTTCTGATGCAGCTCTCTGCTATGGCCATGCTTGGGCCCCTGCACCCTCATGGGAGACCCAGAAGAAGCTCCTGGCTCCTGGCTTCGGATCAGCACAGCTCTGGCCATTGCGGTCATTTGTGTAGTGAACCAGCGGCTGGAAGACCTCTCTCTCTATCTTTTTCTGTGCATCTGTCTCTCTGTAACTCTGCCTTTCAAATAAATAAATTAAAAAAAAAAAAAAAAGCCAGGAGTCAGGAGCTTCTTCTGGTTATCGCATGTGGGTGCAGAGGTCCAAGCACTTGGGCCATCTTCTACTGTTTTCTCAGGCCATAGCAGGGACCTGGATCAGAAGAGGAACAGCCGGGACCCGAGCTGGCACCCCAGGGGTGCCAGCGACGCAGGTGGTGGCTTTACCTGCTATGCCACAATGCTGGCCCCCTGCTTGTGTGTTTTGAAGATTCATTTTACTTTTTTGAAAGGCAGAGCTACGAGAGAGAGAGAGAGAGAGAGAGAGAGAAGTATCTTCTGTCTTCTGGTTCACTCCCCATTTGGCCACAATGGCTTGGGGCTGGGGCTGGCTGAAGCAGGAAGGTGGAACTTCATCCAAGACTCCTATATGAATGATAAGTGCACAAGACAAGTCCTCGGGCCATTGTCTGCTGCCTTCCCAGGTCAGAAGTGAAGCAGTCAGGACTTGAACCCAGCACACATATGGGATGCCACCAGTGTTGCAGGTAGTAGCCCAACCCACTGCACCACAACACAGGCTGCCACGTTCCGGTTTTTGGTGACCTTCTCAGGAGTGTGCCACCCGTGGCGGAGTTGGTGAAGCCGGGCCAGCTCAGTTACGCAACACCTCACACTGGCTCCTTGCTCCCCTTCTCCTTCCCTCTGTCTGCCCCGGGACTGTACCTCCACCAAAGCCTCGCAACTTGCCCTGAGGCTCTGTCTCCGGATGGACGCTGAGCGCAACACACTAAACCTGTTTTTGGAGGCGCATCTCAAGGCCAGTTTTCCATGGAGCTCACACCGGGAAGTGCTTTGCTGGGACGGAGCCCTAGCCCTGCCAGTGCCTTCTCCCACCTGCCAGGCCTCTGTTCATGCACCCCGAGTTCTCTCCAGAAAGAGAGGTAGAATGAACCTCCGAGACCTCCATAATAACAGGAAGAGAGCATTGCGCGTTTATTGAAACGACAGACAGCACAAAAGCCAGTGCCCGCCCGCAGCTCGGGGATGGCCCTGAAATACAGTACATTTTCCCGGTCTGGGCCTGCAGGTGCCCCCAGGCCCCCCACCAAGGAGAGGAAGTGGGCAGCTCTGTCGACCTGGCTTCCTTCCCCTCTGTCTGACATGGCCAGTCACGCCGTGACCAGGCATTATCATACAAAAATTCCTGTACAAAAGCACCAAATTGGCATACGTATACAAGTATATACAAAAAAGTCACATTGTAAAAATGTACAAAATCTTCCATTTTGCACCAACATAAGAAAGTGTCCTGTGTGGTGGTTTCAAGCACGTTTCCAATCCGGGTTCAGTGGCTGCTGGACACAGTTGGGGGGGGTCCTACCTACTCCCTGCTCTCTGAGCAGAGAAGACCTCCCCCCCCACCCCTCCCACCCTGGGCCTGCCACCTAGGCCCCTGGCCCATTCCCACCCTCCCCAGTCTCTGCATCTCCAGCGTCTCTCCTCCTCCAGCTCCTTACTGGTGTCCTGCAGGAAAGAAAAGACACAGAGGCACTGGTGAGACAGTGATGCCGGGGCCCTGGGCTTAGCAGCCCACGGTGGTCCCTCCTCTTGACACCACAGTGGAGTTCAGCTGCCTGAACACTCTGACTTCTGACATCCAGGCTGAAACTATGAAACACTGTTGGATATCTTTCAGCAGGACCGGAATTTAGTTCTAACAACTACTGCTTGAAAAATAACATGAGCAAGCACACCCTTCCTAGGCGCCAGACACCAGGCTAGGGGTGACCGATTTACTCCCTGCTATAACCTTTTGAGGTCCATGGGGCCATCGAGCCCCCACGCACAGAAGGGTAGTCCCGGACTCTCAGATCACACAGCTGGCCCTTGGCGGAGCTGCAATTCAGAGCCCGGACTCTCATCCCAACTCTGCGAGACTGGTGAGCTCAGGGCCCGGCAGACTCTGAAGCAGGCAGCTTTGATGGGGGTGGGACAGAGTGCAGTAGCAGGGAGCTTGTCTAACTTAAAGGGGAAGGCCACCACCCAGAGCCAGCTCTCTGGGATGAGGGTGAACCTCAACTCCAACAATGTCTGCTCTTTCCAAATTTTTCTATGAAGTGGGAATATTCAGATTCTTAGTTTAAATCTGCTTCTCTTTTAATCCTTTAAAAAGCAATCTCTTAATTTAAAAAATGCTAGCAACTAATTTTAAGAAACTTTTAACAGGGACTGGCATTGTAACATAGCAGGTAAAGCTACCTCCTGCAATGCTAGCACCCCCTCTGGGTGCTGGTTCATGTCCCAGCTGCTCCACTCCCAATCCAGCTCCCTGCTGAAGTGCCTGGGAAAAGCAGTGAAAGATGGCCCAAGTGCCTGGGTCCCTGCCCCCCACATGGGAGACCTGGAAGAAGCTTCTGGCTCCTGGCTTTGGCCTGGCCCAGCTCCAGTTGTGACCATCTGGAGACCGAACCAGCAGATGGAAGATCTCTCTGTCTCTCCCTCTCTGTACCTCTGACTTTCAAATACATAAATAAATCTTTAAAAAAAAAAAAGTTTAAACACTAATGGCCAAAAAAAAAAAAAAAAAGCCACTAATGGCCAAAAAGAAAGCCCTCCATGGGCCCAGCCTCTCTAGTGAGACCCCAGTCTTTCACCTTTGACCTCTGTTTGGCACTTGCCGGTTAGGAAGCTTATTTAGATGTAAAACGGGATGCTTTTGATTATGCAAAGTTGGGGATTTTTTTTCCCTCTAAAGGTAAGGAGACAGGACTTTAAGAGAATGCATGCTGGGAGCCCCAGTGTCCAGCGCGGCACCTGGTGCACAGTGGCCTTCTCACTCTGCTGTGGGGTGAGGGGATGAATGAATGAATGAATGAATGAAGGAGGATGGATTTCTTACCTTCTTCCTTCCCTGCTGAGGACTGTTCTTCGTCCTGATCGTCTTCTTCCTCCAGGAACTCATCTTCTTCCTCATCTGGGATAAAGAACAAGCCGGTGAGGGTGGGCTAGCTCCTCAACACCCAGCACGTGCTGTCCACGGGTGTGCAAGAGAGGGGCTGGCCCCCGCCGCGCTGCACCTGCCTCTCCCTGCACTCCCCTGTGCCCGTGCAGCTGCAGCACCTGTCGCCTGCCCCGCCCGTGGGCAGAGAGGACTCTGGCTGTGCACTTTGTACTTAGCACATCGCCCAGGTAGACAAACACACACACACCCCACCCCACACCCGCGGAGAGCAGGACCAAACAGCTCCATTCGCAGGGTCAGAGTCCTTGTCCCTGGGGAATCCGCTCAGCCCTTGAAGCCGGCTTGCTCAGCACCCTGCTCCGTTTTCCTCATTCCTTAGCCTCCGCAGGGGCCACACGGGGTGGGGAGCACGCAGGGGCCATCAGTGCTCCATTGCTCCCTGAAGCTGAGCAACAGTGTAGACGGGCGACAGAGCTGCAGCCTGGGTCCCGTTTCCCACCCTTCAAGTTCTACTGGCAGGGAACAGGCCCTTTCCCCACCCCTGCCCCAAGCCACCTCCTTAGTCCTGGGGAACCCTGGGAGGGGTCACCATGGTCACAGCATTTTCTCCAAAACAACTGCCTGAATGCCAGCCAAGTACCTGGGATCAGAGATAGCCCAGGGAGCTGTGTGGTTGTCGACCGACTCACTGATCACAGTCACTTACAACAGCGTTTGCTGAGCGCTCACTGCGGGATGGGATGCGCAGTGTCCTGGGAGCCTCCCTGGAAGCTTGAGAGCTGGCGGGAATGCACGCGGGCCGCTCACCAGCCGCGCCGCCCTGCCCATTACTCACTCTCTCTGGGCTTCGGTCTCCCCGGCTATGAAATGGGGACGATGAAGAACCTATCTTACGCAGTTTATCGCATGGCGGAGTTTACGTCAAGGGCTCCGTGCCTGGGATGTGGACATGGCAACAATGGTAGCTGTTGGTCCTCTCCCCATTTCACCTTTGAGGAAACTGAGGCTCAGAGAGATTACGCAGGGCAGCACAGATCTTCGCGGTATTGGGTTCACGCAGAGTGACCCACTCGCGAATGTCAGCCCAGGGAGGCCAGCGTGGAGCACGCCCCGCAGCCAGAGGTGTGCCCAAGGCCACAGGGATCGCAGCTTTGTTCCTCCCCAGGCGTGTGTCTGGGGTTCAGGAGTGGAATCCATGAAGGGGGCACCGAGAGGCCTTTCTCTTTCTCACTTGGTCCCTGCTCCTGCACACCTCTGCCTCCTCCCCCCCCTCCCCTGGTCATTGCCTCTCGGACCAATGGGTCACGTAGCAGAATCGCATCGGCCCTCGCTCTGTTGCTCAAAAGCTGTATTACAGCTCTAGAAACTTCAGCACTAACATGTTTGCTCTTTATCTGGTTCCCTAATTTCCCCCCTTATTGTTTCAGTTACATTATTAAAATTCTTACAGGCACTCTGTGGAAAAGGCATTATGAAGAGAAAGGAAGACACTGTAGCGAGGCGACACTTGGAAGCTGAGGCTGAGGCTGGCTGTAGGCAGTAACTCCTAGACATCTCAGACCCCACAAAACCCTTCTGCAGCAATGTCTGCGACAATACCAACCAATCATTATTGGAGAGCTCACTTCGCAAAATGTTTACTTGTTTATTTTTATTTCAGAAGCAGAGAGAGAGGGAGAAACAGAGACAGAGAGAACTCCCATCTGCTAGTTCACTTCTCAAGTGCCTGCAGTAGGCGGGGCTGGGCCAGGTCAAAGCCAGGAGCTGCGGACTCAGTCCAGGTCCCCCATGTGGGTGGCAGAGACCCAAGTACTTAAGCCGTCATCTACTGCCTCACAGGGGGCACGCTAGCAAGAAGAGCCAGGACCCAAACCCAGGCTCTCCAATAAAGGATGCAGGCATCCCAAGCTGTGTCTTGGCAAATACCTGGCCTGCTCCGTGGGGCACGGTTAGCCTAATTATTTTATTTTATTTTATTTTATTTTATTTTATTTTATTTTATTTTATTGAGAGGCAGACAGAGCTCCTATCCACTGGCCTACTCCTCAAATACCCACAATAACCCCCAAACCAGGACCAAAGTCGGGAGCCAGGAACCCAATCCAGGTCTCCCACAGGGTGGCAGGAACCCAATCACTTGGACCATTACTGCTGCCTCCCAGAGTCTGCTTTAGCAGGAAGCTGGAGTCGGGAGCTGGAGCTGGAACTCGAACCCAGGCCCTCCAGTGTGGGCTGCAGGTGTCCCAACCCCTAAGCCGAATGCCCACACCTGACCTAATTTCTAAAATTAGGCTACGAAGCACAGAGAGGTGGATGGCCAGCACCAGGATTTGAACTCAGGTCTGTCTGATTGCAGACCCTGGGCTCTTCCCATGATGCTTCGCACCATGGATCTGTACATCAGTCACAGAGCTATGCTTGTGCTCCAGGCACGGTGCGAGGCTCTGGTTCATCCAGAAGTTGCCTGCATGAGTCAGGTGAAATCTGGGGCTCTTTGGTAGTCCATCTGCCTCCCTAAGGGGCTCAGTGGGAGGAATGCTGGCTGTCAGGGGCCAAGCAAGTTAAACAGCCAAATGGAGCCATCACTTTACCTGTCCCAAAGTCGATGGCCCTCAGGGCGTCTGCTATGTGCTCCAAGTCCAAGGTGAAGTAGTCCATGTTTTCAAAGCCCTGCTCTGTCTTCCCCAGCTGGCAACCCTTGGAAGCTTCCACAATGCTGTGGGCGAGACAGAGATGGAGCTGTGATCTCAGGGCTCAGGACAGGAAGGGCAGTCTTAGCTCCAACACCCCGGGTGCATGAGCTGTGCCCACCCCCTACTGCCTGCCACCCAGAGGCCCCCAGCCAGGAGGCAGTGCCCCCTCTCCAGTCTCAAGTAGAACAGTAGGGACACCAAGACCAGGATATCCAGGCTAGGGTAAGACCCTCACCACAGACCTAACGCACTGGGGCAGGGTGTGGGGCATCGGACAGAAGTCAGAGACCCTGCTGGGAGCTGGGGGCTTGGGTCACAGCCCCTGGGCAGACACTGACCTTTTGATGAGTTGCTTGGCACTCTGTGGAGGGGGGAGAGAGAACAAAGGGTTAGGATTGCCAAAAAAGCAGGAACTCAGCCCAAGGGACCCGGTGTTGGAGATGGACACCTGGTGCCATTCCCTACCCACTTCTGCCCTGCTCCCCACCCGGGGCTGCTAGAAGCTGGATTCTCTCCATTGGTTCACGGTCTGCACAGGCCTTGGTCATCACTCTAGAAACAACACCCCCACACACCCTGTGCATGCACACCCTGCCCTGCCGTCTGGGTGGGAGCTTGGTTCTGGGCCTCAGCTCAAAGCCTGCTAAATCCTGAAATCGCCAAGATGAGAATCCTATCGCAGGCACCCCCCCGTACCCAGCATTTGGCACAAAGGCTGGCCCACGAAAGTTTTTACTGAACTGAACTCTGAGTCTTAGAGCCGGGCCTTCTCTGTCTTCCCCAGCAAGAACTTGCGGGGTGCAGCCGTGCCGCCTCCTCGTCCCCTGGCCTGCAGCAAGCCGTCACTCAGTAGTCTATGTGGGGCAAGCCCTTGGTGGCTGGAAAAGCCATTTCATTAGCATCCTCTTATTTCATCTTCATAAAATCAGCAAGAGAAAGGTGGGGAGCGCTGCGTGCCCATTTTACAGATAGGAAAGCCGAGACTCCCAGCGTTGTAGAGGGCTTGTCTAGGGGCACATAAGTGGTCGGTGGAGGTGCACAAGCAGAACCTTAGACAGCACCCCTCCTAGCCTCGCTCACCATGAGGAAGGTGGCCCCGCCAGGCTCGTCCAGGGACTGGATGGCCGTCTCCACCAGCTTCGTGGACTTGTCGAGCTGCTCCCGGTACTGCAGGATGAGGGCCTCCAGGAAGCTGAGCTTCCCCTCCTGCTCCTGCGTGATGCGCTGCAGCAGCTCACTCTTCTTCTCGTCCAGGACGGTGTACAGGACGTCGAACTTGCGGCTCAGCTCCTCTTTCACGCGGTGGCTGTTCTCCTGGGGGACAGCAACATCGCCGTCACGCCCGTGGGGTCCTTGCTCCCCACCCCAGCACTCTCTTCCTGGGACTGGTGAAGAGATCTCCCTACCGCCCCCTTTCACGGAAGAGGAGACAAAGGCTTCACCAGAAGCCGGCAGCTATGAGGTGCCACGGCCAGCCGCGTAACACGTGGAGGCTGGTGCCATGGAGACAGCTGCCCCTTCTTCACAACAAGGGACTCTGGGGTCACGTGGCAGCACAGACCCTGGGCCCTTGGTGTGCCCCACGTCACACTCGTCCCTCCCTCCATTCTAGGGCCAAGTCTGGATCGGGCAGCTGCGCGCCATGGGGCCCTGGAAGAGGTGGGAGGGCAGCCCTGCCCCCGGCAGCCGCCTCACCCAACTCGGATGCTCTGTCCCGGCTTTCTTTCCTGAAGAATGGGCACAATCCTAGCCAGCTCGTCGGCCTGGGAGCCGCTGGTGGGTGATCACAGAGCTCCACCCCCTCCTCTCAGTGCGCCTTCGTGCCCCTGTCTCTCCTCCAGGTCCCCTCTCAGGGCCAGAGGAACCTCCCACGAGCCTTCCCGGAGCTGGAGAAGCTCCCTCCTGCCCTCCCGCCCTCCCTGAACCCCACAGCTGGGCAGCCCTGGAGCTTGTGGGGGACGCGGAGCGGAAAGCCCACCGTTTTGTGTGCACGTTAGCGTTTGAGAAGCACTGGAGAACAGGGCTGTGTGAGCTGCTAGCACTGAGCACACCCTGGGAACTACTGGCAGGACGGTCCCTGAGCTCACGGACCAAGTCTGTCTTGATCACTGCCCCTCTCCCCCATCCCCAGGGCGTGGGTCGAGGCCTGAAACCAGGCCATGCCCCAGAAACATCTGTTGAGTGCATGGATGGACCGGTGAGTCCCTTGTTCCTATCCCCACGCAGCCACCCCACGCTCCAGGCCCCAACCTCTAGTCCCAACCCAAGCATGAGCCTTCGCCGGAGAGCGGGCTGCACCGCAAGGCCTCAGCCCCAGGGCGAGGCCACTCTGTCCCCTCACCTTGGTCACTCGACAGGAGTCTTCCAGCTGGGTAATGATGGTCTGCACACGGTCATTCCCGGCCACCAGCATGGAGATGCAGTTACTCAGCTCCGTCTGCACGGGAGGAGGGGACCGGCAGGGGACGGACAGAAATAGACTCAGGACCACCTGCTCGGGTGTGGCGGCGGCCGCAGCACCCTCACCCTGCTCTGCCGGAAAAAGCCCCCGGGAGGGGTGTGGCCCCTCTTCTAGGGTGCAGCCCAGGTCTAGAGCAGAGACTGTCAAAGAAGAGCTACTGCGTCTTTTGTTTTATTGGCATAGCCCAGAGAAGGGGATTGAGCTGCCCAAAACACACAGCAAGGAACTGGCCCTTGAAGAAGGGCTTGTTCTAAGTAAATTGGGACGAAGACAAGAACTGCATGCAGAGGGTGGTGGGGGAGAGACTGGGAGCAGAGAGGGAGTGGGGAGGAGAGCAGAGGGGTGGAGCTGCAGCTGACGGCATGGGCATGCTGGGAGGGCTGCCACGGCCCTGCACCCGGGGAGAGGGCTCCCAGCTGCCTCCCGCTGCAGGGGAATGTGAAATCTGGGGCCCAGAAGTGTGGCCTGAGAGGGCCCTGGGGTCTGACTCCGCCTTTGGCCACACCCAGGTGCTTGCAAGTGGCTCTAAGTATAACCCATGAGCTCAGTCAGCGCCCCCAGGGAGGCCGCGGCTGCTGTCCCTGCAGCCGGGACAGTCCCTCCCCAGGATTATTCCTGAAAGGCCGGCTCAGCAGATCTGCCTCCTGAACCAGCAGGTCCTGCTCTGCAGGCCCAGGCTGTGGGCAGCAGCGGCTGCAGCCGGTACCTTTTGGCCCTGGAAGACGCTCTGCAGCGGGGCCACCTCGCAGGCCTGGTGGGCTCCAAACACCTTGCACATGGAGCACGTGGGCGTCTCACACGTGAGGCAGTAGATGTTGATTTTCTCGTCTTCGTGTTCCTTGCACATGGGGTGACTGCCCTTCTGCAGGGGCCGACTGAAAGGAGAACCGTCACAGGTCACGGGGGCTTTGGGGGACCGTCTCAGCCCGGCTCTGGTCACTGGAGCTCACTCCAGTTCTGTCCCTGGGCTCTCAGTGGTTGGAGGCCTCCAAACCTTTCCCTTTTTTTTTTTTTTTTTTTAAGATTTATATTAGGGGCCAGTGCTGTGGCATAGCAGGTAAAGCTGCTGCATGCAGTACCAGCATTCCATATGGGTGCTGGTTCGAGACCCGGCTGCTCTACTTCCAATCCAGCTCTCTGCTATGGCCTGGAAAAGCAGTAGAAGATGGCCCAAGTGCCTGGGCCCCTGCACCCAGGTGGGAGACCAGGAAGAAGCTCCTGGCTCCTGGCTTCTGGCTTCGGATTTGCACAGCTTCAGCCATTGCAGCCAATGAGGAGTGAACCAGCAGATGGAAGACCTCTCTTTCTCTCTCTGCCTCTCGTTCTCTCTCTGTGTAACCCTGACTTTCAAATAAAATAAATAAATCTTAAAAAAAGAGATTTATTTTGTTTGTTTGAAATGCAGAGTGACAGAGAGAAAAGGAGAGACAGAGAGACCCTCTATTCTCTGGTTTACTCCCCAAATGGCCACAATGGTTGGGGCTGATCTAGGCCAAATCCAGGAGCCAGGAGCTCCACCCAAGTCTCCCACACAGGTGCAGGAGCCCAAGCACTTGGGCCACCCTCTGCTGCCTTCCCAGGTGAATCAGCAGGGAGCTGGATCAAAAGCGGAGCAGCCAGGACTTGAACTGGCACCCATAGGGCTGCTGACACCACAGGCAGTTGTGCCAGAACACAAGCCCCAAACCTTTTCCTTTCATCCTCTGGGGACTCAAGCCCAGGGAAGCCAGTGACATCACACATGTCCCCACATCCTGGGACCCAAACTCTAGTGCTGGAGTCAGCCCCCGGCTCTGTCAGGGCAGCGGACGTTGGGGAGGATCAGCAGATGAAGAGGTTTGAAGCAGGAGGAAGCTGGGTCCCAGAGAAGTGAACTGACTTGCCCAAGGTCACCAGGCACATAAGGGCAGGGCAGGGCAGGGCAGGCCAGAGCCCGCTCGCTCTAATTATAGTCCCCATGGCTCCTGGTGGCTCCTGCTCACTGAGAGCTGGGGTGTTTATCCTAATGGCCTCACTGAATTCTGTATTTAATCCAGCAGGCTGTAACCTCCATCGGGAAACTCACCTGTTTCCTCCCTCCCAGAGTCGACAGTGTACAGTGCCTGGTGCCCAGGAGGTAGTGATTAAATACAAGTCAAAGGGCTTCACCAGTAAGCACACCATGAGGGTGTCCCCAGGTCAGGCCCTGGCCTCCAACAGCCCCATCCTTCCTAACCTGGGTTCTATTTTTTTTTTTTTTTTTAAGATGTAGTTGTTTGAGGGGCAGAGCAACTGAAAGAGAGAGAGAGAGAGAGGTCTTCCATCTGCTGGTTCACTCCCCAAATGGTATGCAACAGCTAGGTCTGGACCAGGCCTAAGCCAAGAGCCAGGAGCTTCTGGGTCTCCCATGTGGGTGCAGGGGCCCAAGTACGTGGGCCATCTTCCGCTGTCTTCCCAGGCTCATGAGCTGGGAGCTGGATTGGAAACAAAGCAGCCAGGATTCGGACAGAGCTGTGATATGGTATGCTGGCACTGTAAGCGGTGGCCCAAGCCTCTGAGCCACAGTGATGGCATGTACGTTTGATTTTTTTTTTTTTTTTTGAGTCCAGATCTTACCTCCTCAACTGGCCTACATACTCATTTAGAGCCAGCGCCGTATCCACGCCACTTCTGATTCCCAAGTGTCGGATGGAGACAACTCCCTCTCAGTGTCAAGGGCTCACCTCCAACAGCCTGCACGACTGCCCACAGCCCAGCTTTCTGTCCTCCCCCCGCAGTTCTTAAAGAAGCCCCTGGCCAGACTTGTCTTCTTGCATCTTGCCGCCCAGGGCCTGCATGCTGGTAGGGGTCTCCCGGCCCTGGGAGAGGAGCCCTGGGGCCAGCAGTGGTGCACAGAGACAAGCTGTGACCCCTGACCCTTGGGTGCCCATCCTTCCCTCTGGCTTCCGTCCAGACCGTTGGAGCAAGTTGCTTGGCTCCTCTGGGTTTGGTTTCCTCCGACAGGAGGAAGAATTGCCGAAGCTCTCTGCGGGAACAGGAAGTGCCCAGCACAGAGCAGAGCCCCAGGAAAGCGCAGCGGCTGTGACGCTCCTCCCCTTGGAGAGGCCTCAGGGGCTCCGACACAGCGCGCTCAGCGGAGGTGCTCCCCGAGGGGGCTGGTATTCCCATGCAATACAGATTGGACTACTTTTATAGCGACCCACAGCCCGTGTGCATCCTGTAGCCACAATCTAGACCAGCGGTGAGGAATATGCACCAGGCACAGGCACTGAGCCCGGCATTCGGGACACCTGCTCCCCCTAGCTGAGTTCTCAGGTGGATCCTCGGCTCCAGCTCCTGACGCGGGCTCCTACGATGCAGACCCGGGAAGCTCAAGTAATTGGGCTCCTGCCACCCACGTAGGAGACCCAGATTAAGTTCTGGGCTCCCAGATTCAGCTCCAACTCAGCCCCCGCTGGGCATTTCACGCATGAACCAGCAGATGGGAATGTGTTCTCTCTCTCTCTCTCAAATAAATACATTATTTTTAAAACGAAAAAAGCACATTCACCATGGAGTCAGTCACACCTTCTCTCTTCTAGCTGTGTGGCCTTGGGAAAATCTCCGACCCTCTCTGAGCCTCCGTTTCCTTATAGGAAAATGGAGCTGCGAATGCCTCACAGAGTGACTGAGACAGGAAGTACTCCGGACAGTGCCTGAGCACAGCGTGTGCTCAGGGAGCACTTGACTGTGTCACATTGCCCATCGGTGTCCTAGCCCACAGTCACAGCCACGCTTCGGCCACTTAATGCATTAACAACGGGGCAGAGCGGCCATCACAGGCCCCAGGCCAGGGCTCTTCCTCCGCGGGCATGGTTGGCAGCACCTCTGGGCAGGCCACTGCCTGCTGCCACGTGCTTGGTGGAGGTTTTAGACCAAAAAGGCTGTGAGGTCAGCAGCTGGGAGTGGTGTCAGGATGTCCTCATTTGTACCGCTCTCCCGGCAGCGGCTGTGTCTCCAGCCGGCCCCACCACTCACAGATGCTGCCTCTCTTATTAACAGGGAGACTCAGCACCCGATGGGCCAGGCTCAGCCCCAGCTCGCCCCCTTCTCGGCTGGGAAGCCTTGAGTCACTGACTTGGCTTCTTGGGGATTACAGAAGTCCCTCCCGGTCTACAGGGTGGCTGCGAGGCAGGCAGAGCCTCCCCAGGGCTGGCAAGGGAGACAATGTAGCCATCGCTGCAGCTCCTGGCTATGTTGTCACTGGGCACTCTCCCTGCCCAGCCGGCCACCTCACAGGTCCCAGGCCTGTCCCTCCCTCTCGCTTCCCATCTCCCCCGGCAGTGCAGCCCGAGGGGTCCCTAGTGGCGGGTTCTGGGGGCAGGGTCTCGGGGCCGGCGAGCTGACCTGGAGCACTCTTGCTTGTAGATGTCAATGATGTTCTCCACCAGCAGGTTCCTCTGCAGCCCGTACACGCCGTGCCGGTCCATGACCACCTCGTGGCGGCAGGACGGGCAGCGGAAACGGCCGCCGGACATGGACACCGTGCCGCTCCGGTTGGTCCAGTAAGGATTTGCGGCCTGCGGTGGCCAAGGTAGAGGTGAGGCCAGTGCTCCCTCCTCAGCCCCTTCCCTCTTGAGTCTCTCCCGCTCTTGAGGTGAGAACAGACCCCTGCCCGGAGAGCCCCCGAGCAGTCAGCAGGCCTGGCTTCCGTCTCTGCCTGACCCTGGGCAGTGACTTTCTCTCTCAAAACCTCAGTTTGCCCACTCAAGAAATGGGTGCTATAATTAGGGCAAAGGTGAAGCAGTGAAGGGGCATTGGAGACGGTGCTCCTGGGGACCGCTGGGTCCTGCCTGCCTGCCAGACCTCCCTAGAGCCCCTCCGGCTCCCACCTTGAAGAGGACAGCCTCGGTGGGGGGGCCCTCTAGGCCTCGTGCCTGCCCGTCCCCCTCCTCCCACAGCTCCGGGCCCCCTGCCACTGTGGCGCTGGCCGGGCCCCAGGGGTCTGGTTTCTCTCCCCTCTCTGCCTGCCTCCCCCTTATCACTTGAGGCATTTGACTCTCAGTCCTCAGCGGGCCCAGGGCAGGCGGGGGAGCTGTGGACAGGCTGGGAGGGACACATGCGTCATGGAGAGGCAGCGGGGCCGCCAGAGCCACCGCCCCAGCCCCAGCCCAGGCCAGAGGCCTCCACAGGGGATCACTCGGAAGCGGAAAGAATCAGCTCGCATTGCAGGGCCTTCGGCTAAGAGCAAAGGGCCGCCGAGTTGCCGCCCAGGGACCCAGGAGCGGCCATGGCCAGCACCGACCTGGAAGATGTCGTTGGCACACTTGCGGCAGAGGTTGTGCTGACACGGCAGGATGACCACCGGCTTGGTGAACATCTCCAGGCAGATGGGACAGATCAGCTGCTTCTCCAGGTTCTCCATGGGGCTGCCATCCTGGATCAGGCCCGACTTGTAATCCATAACGTTGGGGTGGCTGCCTCCTCCACCTGCTGGCTCCGGAGACCTGTGCCTTTGTCACAAACACCCGCTCGGAATCTCTCGGCCTTCTTCTCCCCGCGTCTGAATTCTGTCCGGGACTGGGGCCCCTCTGGTATTTATAGCTGGGTCTCGGTCACATGAGCCCGGGAGGGGACCAGCTGAGCATTCCGATGCCAAGTGCGCGGTGGGGCTTGAGTTTCTTCCAAGCCTGGGAGACGCGGCCCTCTCAGATCACACGCAAGCCTGAGCAATCGCTGTTCCCCGGGCATGGGGGGTCGAAAACAAGAACAACCTGTTCGGAGGCAGCCTGGCGGGGGCATGGGTACCCAGAGTTCCCTCCAGAAACTGGGTCCCCCTAGCTAGGCTGCTGGGCCAGGGATGGGATCCAGGGAGGGGACCTCGGGGATTCAGGGGTTCATAGTCACTGTCCCCCTCATTAACGTAAATCAGTGCCTGCCACTCCCCTGGAGTCCTGGGCAGCTCTCAAGATAAGGGACAGGGCCGCCCCTCTCTGAGCCTCGCACCTGAGCCCAGCGTCTCATGTAGACAGGGGAGGCCCCACCCGGGGTGTCTGTCTCCCTCTCTTGGCCACTTATTCCCCTTAACGCTGAAAGGGCTCCCTTGAGTCCAGTCCCCTCATTCTATAGAGTTTGAAATGAGTCCCAGCAAAGAGAAGACTTTACACTTCCTAGCAGCAAAGCCAGGAACCTTATCCACACACCAGACATTCTTCAGTGCAGCAGGGACCAAGGTGACAGGCAGAGGAGCGGTCTCCTGCCCTGGGATGTGCACAGCCCAGGAAGGAGCAGAGGGGAGCAGCTCTTATGGAAACCCCGCCTGGACGCTCAGCACTGGCCGGAAGGCTCCCCTGGGTCTCGGCACACATTTTCAATTTTACTCCACTTTAAAAAAGCTTTACTTATTATTTTTAAAGATTTATTTCTTTTATTTGAAAGACAGAGTTACAGAGAGGCAGAGTCATAGAGAGAGGTCTTCCATCTGCTGGTTCACTCCCCAGTTGGCTGCAACAGCCGGAGCTGTGCCAATCTGAAGCCAGGAGCCAGGAGCTTCCTTCCGGTCTCCCACGTGGGTGCAGGGTCCCAAGGACTTGGGCCATCTTCTACTGCTTTCCCAGGTCATAGCAGTGAGCTGGATAGGAAGTGGAGCAGCCCGGTGCCATGGCTCACTTGGTTAATCCTCCGCCTGTGGCGCCGGCATCCCACATGGGCGCCGGGTTCTAGTCCTGGTTGCTCCTCTTCCAGTCCAGCTCTCTGCTGTGGCCCGGGAAGGCAGTGGAGGATGGCCCAAGTGCTTGGGCACCTGCACCCGCGTGGGAAACCAGGAAGAAGCACCTGGCTCCTGGCTTTGGATTGGGGCAGCTCTGGCTGTGGCAGCCATTTTGGGGGTGAACCAACGGAAGGAAGACCTTTCTCTCTGTCTCGCTCTCTCACTGTCTATCTGTCAAGTAAAAAAAAAGGAAGTGGAGCAGCCAGGACTTGAACCGGCACCCATATGGGATGCCGGCACTGCACTGCAGGTGGCGGCTTTACCTGCTACACCACAGCTCCAGCCCCAATATTTACTTATTTATTTGAAAGGCAGAGTTGGAGAGAGAGAGAAAGAGAGAAAGAGAGCGAGCGGATCTTCCATCTGCTGGATCATTCCCAAAATGCGTGCAACATTCAAAGCTGGACCAGACCAAAGCCAGGAGCTGGGAGTTTCATCCACATCTTCCATATGTGTGCAGGGCCCCAAGCACTGGGCCATCCTCCACTGCTTTTCCCAGGCACATTGACAGGGAGCTGGACCAGAAATGGAGCAGCTGGGACTCAAACCAGTGCCAGCACTGCAGAAGGCAGCTTCACCTGCTTTGCGTCGACGCCGGCCCCTTCCTCCACGTTCGCAAGGGCATCTTTCACCTTGGCAGTAGAAGTCCTTTGAGCAGGCCCAAGGGAGGTTTTTAAGGCAGAGCCTCATGCAAGGACCTTGGGGTCGCCTGGTCCAAGGCGCTGGAGCAGAAGGTTGAGAGCAGCGGCCGCAGGGCCTTGGCTACGCCTAAGAGGCCATGGGACATCCAGGAGGAACGTGCGGGAGCTCAGGAAAGGGGTCATGAGACCCTGAGTAGCCAGGGCAGGGGGCCAGCCTGAGGACAGGGAGGAAACCGGAGAAGAAGAGGAGGAATCACCGCAGAAAGAGGAGGTGGCCTTGGTCCTCGCCCCTGAAACGCCGACGGCTAGCTTTTGCTGAGCAATTACTATGTGCCAGGCCCTGTGCCTCATACTTTGTATGATTGCTTTATCATCCTAGCAGGGTAGGAACCATTAAACCCCCTTCCCCAGGCGAGGAAGCTCGAGCACAGAGAGGCAACACAGCTCAGTGGAGGTCACACAGCAAGCAAGAGGTGGCTCCAGGACAGGAACCAGAGCTGCTGGGCCGAGGAATTCAAACTCACACGTCTCTGCTGTGCTCTGTTTGGATCACACAGACGCTGCCAGGCAGGCAGGGGGCCACAAGAGGAAAGGGGCTGAAGAGGGAAGGCCTGGCCCCTTCCTTGCCCACGGGTCCTCGGTTTTGTCCGAGCATCCGGTGGCCTCCTACCCTGTTCCCCCTCTGCTGCTATGGGAGAGAGGTCTCATCTAATTGAGGCCTTTCCTGCTCATTCCACGCCCTTTGGCCAAATACCCAGGAGACCCAAGGACACGTCGGAGTTCCTCCATGACAAAAGTCAGCAAGGAGAAAGCTTCGGTCTTGCCTCTGAATGGGGGGAGAGCGCACGGCAGCTGTGTCTGTGCTGTCTCCAGGCCGTCACCGTGCCTCCAGCGAATCCAGCTGTGACTGCCTGAGGCGGAGACAGCGGACGCCATCACGGTGTAACTCCTGGACACTCGCAGCAGAGAGCACCCTGCTAGTGTTGGGGGCCCCAGCGCAGATACACCAGGGGTTCTCAAGTCGCTAACTCCACTTCTGACCTTTCTCTCCCCTGAGCTGGAGGGTTGTTGGGCATTTCTCGGGAGACCCTCCACGGCATCCCCACTCTCACCACGTCCCAGACACGCAGCGCCTCCTCCCACGGTCCCAATCCAGTGTCCCCGGGCACGGCACTACTGCCATCGACTCACAGGCACCAACCAGGAAGTTGAGCATCCGCTCGGGGGCCCCCTCCCTCCCGTCTCAGGGTCTCCCCTGTCACAACATGGCTACCGCCCAGGTGTGGGTCTGACTCTCCCCATGGACGCTGAAGGCCTGGCTCACAGCCCCTCAACAGCGGCTTCTTAGCCGAGCCGGGGAGTGAATGAGCGAGTCAAGTGCGGGAGCAGCTGGGCTGTTGTCAGGCTTGGGGAAGACTGAGGCACTCGAGTCGGTGCAGCCAGTAGAAAGTTCTGGAAGATGGGGGCTGGGGTCTAAAGCCCGGGGAAGGAGAGGAACTTCCATGTCCAACCTCTGGGTTGGGAGAACGAAAGACAGGAAGGGACGGAGGTGAGGCCCGGGGGTACTGGGAGGCGCAGAGAAAGGTGCTCAATCCAGAGAGAGTTGAGGTCAACTTCCAGGGCTCAGGCGGCGGGGAGGGTGGCCTGCAGGGTGGGGACAAGGCCCTGCCAGCCGGTGTGGGACACAGCAGGGTGTGCCTTGGAGAGAGGCGGAAGGGCTGTCTGGGCTCAGCAGGCCCGGCTGATGTTTCCCAATTCCGATGTGTCATTTGCAAGGGGCCGTCCACGTGGGCCTGTTGACTGTTCCCAGCCACACTTGGCAGTGCAGGTGCAGAAACCCAGCAAATGGACAGTGGGACGGAGGCCAGCCTGGGGGCTGGCAAGGCCGGCCCTGCTGAAAGGCGAGGGCTGAGGAAGGAGACTCCCATGCAGGCCAGGCTGGGCATCAAAACATGTCCTGTCACTCTATCCTCGCAGCAGCCCCGTGGGGAGGCAGCATGAGCGCCAGAGTTCAGTGACTTGGCTACAGTCACACAGCCACCAGCAGCAGAGCTGGGGTTCACGTCCCAAGCAGCCTGCGTGCCCCTCACTGCAGCGCTTACTGAAAGGTTGCTGTGTGCCCGGCGTGTGCCCGGCGTGTGCCCAGCCCTTTCCCTCCCTCCCATCCTCCCATGCTCTGAATGAGGCAGGCATCGCGATTTCCCCTGCTTTTAGCCAAGCCCCAGAGGCTCTGAGAGGTAAAGTCACTTGGCCCAGGTCCAGCCGCCGTTGAGTGACAGAACGTTGCAAACCAGTATTGTTAGCAGGTATGGGAACAGACTGTCAGGTGGTGCTGGCCAGGGAGCAGAAAAGCCGGGCCCTGGTGCACGGTGTGTCTGCACCCGAGCGCGGCACCACCTCCGCTTTCCTGCCCCCCCCCCCCCCCTCCCCGCACGTGCTGGTGTTGACTGTTTATATTGTTGAAAACTTCAAGCCTACAGAAGATAGAAGAGCACGATAGATCTATGAATCCCAGGTTCACACCCTGAATGTCTGCACCAGCAAGATCTGAGCCAGGCCAAAGCCAGGAGCCAGGAAGCCCACTGGGGCCTCCCACGTGGGTGCAGGGGCCCAAGCACTTGGACCATCTTCTGCTGCCTTCCCAGGAGCGTTAGCGGGGAGCTGGATGGGAAGCCGAGCAGCCCGGGTTTGAACTGGCCACTGCAAGGTGCAATGCTGGCATCACAAGTGGTGACCTACCTGGCTGTGCCACCATGCGGGCCCCTTTCCCCAGCTTTATCTCATCTGTGCCCCCGCACTTTTTTTTTTCTGAGGTGCCGCAAAATCTATTTTTATTTGAGAGACAGAGACCTATAGAGCGCCCATCGGCTGGGTCAGGTCCCAGATTCGCACAGCAGCCCTCGGGCACAACCAAAGCCAGGAGTCAGGACCTCCACGAGGCGGCAGGAACCCAACTTCCTGAGCCGTCACTGCTGCCTTCCAGGGTCTGCACGGGCAGGAAGCAGAGCCAGGAGCCAGAGCCCGGAACCAAAGCCAGGCACTCTGATGTGGGGTACCTGCTGGGCTAAGCTGCCTGCCCCTTTTCTGAGACATTGTAAACCAAATCTCAGCCACTCAGTCTTTCACCTACATACACTCTAGTGTCCTGACATTGAGTTTGTATGTTATCCAC